TAAATCTGAAAATGATATGACCCGTGCCTGCACTGAGTTTAAGGAAGCCATCCAAGAAGCCTTGGGGAACGGAGCTGGTAATTGGGGACTGATCGTGGGCAGGGACAAGGCAAGGACGAGCCTGCAGCTCAATGTTGTAAGAAAAAATGGGAGATGTATTCCAGCAATGCAGGCATTGCAGACCCAAAAAAACGAATCAGGCATTTTTAAAAATGTTAAAGGAAGGTTTTAACTCCCATCTGCAAACAGCCCTTAATTTGGGAGTGAACCCAGGCTCTAATTATGAATCCATCTGTATGTGGCCCTCTGAATGCGAAGCCAGACAGGCCAAAAAAATAAAGAGCAAGTCTACTCGCGTTGCCGTAGTAACAGCAAAAAATAATGTGATCTGTTATAATTGTGAATATCTCGGGCATACCCAAAAAACTGCAGGCGCAAGGCCCAAAAGCCTAGTCAGGGACAGAATCACGGCCAGTTGAATCCCTGCAGTACCTCACTGCCCTTTCAATCTGGCCCTAGTCCCGTCCCCACCCCACACCTCACAGTGTTTGTATGTGGGGAAATTGGAATTTTTTTTTAAGAATTAGGCAAGCACAGACAATACTGAAGGCGGGTACTGGTCTTTTAGCAATTACTAGTGCTCTGCTTAGACAAACATTTTCAGATTTATTCAGCTTCCAATTAACATCCATTAGGTTTAAAATTACATTTTTAGCTTGTAACACAATTTTATCTGACAGGAAAAAAGTAACTCTGCAATTAAGTTCTTCCAAAAACATACGAGTGTAGAAGCATTCCCAGAACATATAGGTGGGCTGGTTCTTATGGGGGACTTCAATCACCCTGACATCTGCTGGAAGAGCAATACATCAGTTCACAGATAATCCGGGAAGATTTTGGAGAGTGTTGGGGACAACTTCCTGGTGCAACTACTGGAGGAACCAACCAGGGGCCGTTCTCATCTTGACCTGCTGCTTACAAACAGGGAAGAATTGGTAGGAGAAGTAGAAGTGGGTGGCAACCTGGGCAGCAGTGGCCATGAGATGGTTGAGTTCAGGATCCTCACAAAAGGAAGAAAGGAGAGTAGCAAAATATGGACCCTGGACATCAGAAAAAGAGACTTTGACTCCCTTAGGGAACTGATGGGCAGGATCCCCTGGGAGGCTAATATGAGGGGGCAAGGAGTCCAGGAAAGCTGGCTGTATTTTAAAGAAGCCTTATTGGGGGCGCAGGCACAAACCATCCCGATCTGCAGAAAGAATGGCAAATATGACAGGCGACCTGCTTGGCTTAACAGTGAAATCTTCAGTGAGCTTAAATACAAAAATGAAGCTCACAAGAAGTGGAAACTTGGACAGATGACTAGGGAGGAGTATAAAAATATTGCTCAAGCATGCAGGGGTGTAATCAGGAAGGCCAAAACACAACTGGAGTTGCAGCTAGCGAGGGAAGTGAAGGGTAACAAGAAGGGTTCCTACAGGTATGTTAGCAACAAGAAAAAGGTCAGGGAAAGTGTGGGACCCTTAATGAATGGAGGAGGCAACCTAGTGACAGATGATGTGGAAAAAGCTGAAGTACTCAATGCTTTTTTTGCCTTGGTCTTCACAGACAAGGTCAGTTCCCACACTTCTGTCTTGGGCAACACAGTACGGGGAGGAGGTGAGCAGCCCTCAGTGGTGAAAGAACAGATTAAGGACTAGTTAGAAAAGCTGGACATGCACAAGTCCATGGGTCCAGATCTAATGCATCCAAGAGTGCTGAGGAAATTGGCTGATGTGATTGCAGAGCCTTTGGCCATTATCTTTGAAAACTCATGGTGATGGGGGGAGGTCCCGGACGACTGGAAAAAGGAAAATATAGTGCCCATTTTTAAAAAAGGGAAGAAGGAGAACCCAGGGAACTACAGATCGGTCAGCCTCACCTCAGTCCCTGGAAAAATTATGGAGCGGGTCCTCAAGGAAACCATTTTGAAGCACTTGGAGGAGAGGAAGGTGATCAGGAACAGTCAACATGGATTCACCAAGGACAAGTCATGCCTGACCAATCTGATTACCTTCTATGATGAGATGACTGGCTCTGTGGATATGGAGAAAGCAGTGGACATGATATACCTTGACTTTAGCAAAGCTTTTGATACGGCCTCCCACTGTATTCTTGCCAGCAAGTTAAAAAAGTATGGATTGGATGAATGAACTATAAGGTGGATAGAAAGCTGGCTAGATCGTCAGGCTCAACGGGTAGTGATCAATGGCTCGATGTCTAGTTGGAAGCCGGTATCAAGCGGAGTGCCCCAGGGGTCGGTCCTGGGGCTGGTTTTGTTCAACGTCTTTATTAATGATCTGGATGATGGGATTAATTGCACCCTCAGCAAGTTCGCAGATGACACTAAGCTTGGGGGAGAGGTAGATACACTGGAGGGTAGGGATAGGGTCCAGAGTGACCTAAACAAATTGGAGGATTGGGCCAAAAAAAAAAGCTGATGAGGTTCAACAAGGACAAGTGCAGAGTCCTGCACTTAGGATGGAAGAATCCCAAGCACCACTACAGGCTGGGGACCGACTAGCTAAGCAGCAGTTCTGCAAAAAAGGACCTGGGGATTACAGTGGATGAGAAGCTGGATATGAGTCAGCAGTGTGCCCTTGTTGCCAAGAAGGCTAATGGAATATTGGGCTGCATCAGTGGGAGCATTGCCAGCAGATCGAGGGAAGTGATTATTCCCCTCTATTCGGCACTGGTGAGGCCACATCTGGAGTATTGTGTCCAGTTTTGGGCCCCCCATTACAGAAAGGATGTGGACAAATTGGAGAAAGTCAAGTGGAAGGCAACGAAAATGATCAGCGGGCTGGGGCACATGACTTATGAGGAGAAGCTGAGGGAACTGGGCTTGTTTAGACTGCAGAAGAGAAGAGTGAGGGGGGATTTGATAGCAGTCTTCAACTGCCTGAAGTGGGGGTTCCAAAGAGAATGGAGCTCGGCTGTTCTCAGTGGTGGCAGATGACAGAACAAGGAGCAATGGTCTCAAGTTGCAGTGGGGAAGGTCTGGGTTGGATATTAGGAAACACTATTTCACTAGGAGAGTGGTGAAGCACTGGAATGGGTTACCTAGGAAGGTGGTGGAATCTCCATTCTTAGAGGCTTTTAAGGCCCGGCTTGACAAAGCCTTGGCTGGGATGATTTAGTTGGTGTTGGTCCTGCTTTGAGCAGGGGGTTGGACTATATGACCTCCTGAGGTCTCTTCTAACCCTAATCTTTTATGA